AGAATTCAACAGTATTAATTACAGAAAACCCACAAACTCATGGAAATTGAACAATGCTCAACTGAGTCACCACTGGGTCAAGGAAGAAATAAAAAAAAGAAATTAAAGACTTTTTAAAATTCAAAGAAAATGACAGTGCAGCATATCCAGACTTATGAAATACAATGAAAGTAGTGCTAAGAGGAAAGTTCGTAGCACATATAAAGAAGCTGAAGCAACCTAACACTCATGAATTAACACTACACTGAAAATCCTTAGAACAAAAAGAAGCAAACTCATCCAGGAGAAGTAGATGCCAGGAAATAATCAAATTGAGAGCTGAAATCAATAAAATAGAAACAAAGAAAACAATACAAAGAATCAGTGAGACAAAGAGTTGGTTCTTCAAAAAAAAAAATCAACAAGATAAACAAACCTTTATCCAAACTAACCAAAAGGCAGAGAGAGAATATCTGAATTAAAAAATCAAAAATGAAAAAGGGAACAGAACAACAGACATGGGAGAAATCCAGAGACTCATCAGGTCGTACTTCAACAATCTGTACTCCACTAAATTGGAAAATTTAAAGGAACTTGACAGTTTCCTGGATAAATACCACATGCCAAAATTAAGTCAAGCCCAGATAAATTAAATAGACCTACAGCCCCTAAGGAAATATAAACAGTCATCAAAAGTCTCCCAACCCAAAAAAACCCAGGGCCAGATGGTTTCAGCCCAGAATTCTACCAGAATTTCAGAGACACACTAATACCAGTACTCCTCAAATTGTTCCACACAATAGAAACAGAAGGAACGTTACTGAGCTCTTTTTATGAGGCTACAGTTACCCTGAAACACAAATGAATAAAGATGCAACAAAGAGAATTACAGACCATTCTCCCTCATGAACATTGATGCAAAAATACTCTATAAAATACTGGCAAAACAAATTCAGGAACACATCAGAAAAATTATCCACCTTATCAAGTAGGCTTCATCACAGAGATGCATTCCTGGGATGGTTCAACATATGAAAATCTGTCAATGTAGTCCACTATATAAGCAAGCTGAAAGAAGAAAAAAAAAACCCACATGATCATCTCATTTGATTCCGAAAAAAAAAAAACTCTGACAAAATCCAACACCCCTTCATGATGAAGGTCTTGGAGAGATCAGGGATACAAGGAATGTACCTAAACATAATATCAGCATTATTCAGCAAGCTGACAGCCAATATCAAACTAAATGAAGAAAAACTCAAAACGAGCCCACTAAAATCAGACACAAGACAAGGCTATCCACTTTCTCTATTATTCAATATAGTACTCAAAGTCCTAGCTAGAGCAATAAGACAATAGAAGGAGATCAAGGGGATACAAATTGGAAGGGAAGTTATTGGTTGCCTGTGTTTTTGTGGGTACAATTAGCTTCCTTGGGTTGGGATTTTCTTTCTAGTACTTCTGTAGGGCTGGATTTATGGGTAGGTATTTTTAAATCTAGTTTTGTCATGGAATATCTTGTTTTCTCCAATATCATGATGGGTACACCCACTGAAACAGTTTATCTGAGCTCATGGGAGCTCACCAACTCCAGATGTACAGGGAAGGAAACAGCATAAGTCCAAACTGGTCCCTTTGAATGTGGGTGACAGTTGTATGACTGGGGCAGACTATGGGGCCACTGGAAGTGGCACTAGAATTTATTCCCTACTGCTTGTACTGGCCTTTTTGGAACCTATTCTCTCCGGATGGATACCTTGCTCAGGCTGTGTATAGTAGGGAGGGCCTTGGACCTTACCCAAAGCACTGTGCCTTACCCTCTCCTAGAAGTGGATGGGGAGTGGGGTGGGGAGGTAGGTGGAAGGAATGGGAGGAGGGGTTGGAGTGGGAACTTGGATTGATATGTAAAATGAGAAAAAATAGTTTGCTTTCTTTATAAAAAAACAATTTAAAAAAAGAAAAAAACAAATTGGAAGGGAAGAAGTCAAACTTTCGCTATTTGCGGATGATATGGTAGTATACATAAGTCACCCGAAAAATTCTACTAGGGTACTCCTACAGCTGATAAACACTGTCAGTAATGTGGCTGGATACAAGATCAACTGAAAAAAAAATCAGTAATCCTTCTATATACAGATGATAAACGGGCTGAGAAAGAAATCAGAGAAAGAAACATCACCCTTCACAAAGCCATAAACAACATAAAATATCTTGGGGTAACTCTAACCAAACAAGTGAAATACCTTTTTGATGAGAACTTTATGTCTGAAGAAGGAAATCGAAGCAGATATCAGAAAATGGAAAGATCTCCCATGTTCTTGGATAGGTAGAGTTAACATTGTAAAAATAGCAATTTTACCAAAAGCAATTTACAGATTCAGTGCAATCCCAATCAAAATCCCAACACAGTTCTTCACAGACCTTGAAAGAACAGTACTCAACTTCATATGAAAAAACAAAAAACCAAGGATAACCAAAACAATCCTGTACAATAAAGGACCTTCCAGAGGCATTACCATCCCTGACTTCGAGCTCTGTTATAAAGCTACAGTAATGAAAATAGCTTGGTATTGGAATAAAAATAGACATGTGGACCAGCGGAATTGAATAGAAGACCCTGATATTAAGCTGCACACCTATGAACACCTGATTTTTGTCAAAGAAAATTATGCATTGAAAAAAGAAATCATCTTCAACAATTAGTGCTGGCATAACTGGAGTTCAACATGTAGAAGAATGCAAATAGATCCCTATCTGTTGTCATGCACAAAACTCAAGTCCAAATGGATCAAAGACCTCAACATAAACCTACCACACTGAACCTCATAGAAGAGAAAGTAGGAAGTACTCTTGAACACTTTGGCACAGGAGACCATTACCTAAATATGGCACCAGTAGCATAGACACTGGAGCAACAATTAATAAGTGGGACCTCCTGAAACTCAAAAGCTTCTGTAAGGCAAAGGACACAGTGAACAAGACAAAAGAGTAGCCTTCAGAATAGAAAAAGATCTTCACCAACCCCACATCTGACAGAAGGCTGATCTCCAAAATATACAAAGAACTCAAGAAACTAAACATCAAAATGTGAAATAATTCAATAAAAAATGGGGTATTGATCTAAACAGAGAATTCTCAACAGAAGAAACTCAAATGGCTGGAAGACATTTAAGGAATTGCTCAACATCCTTATCAGGGAAATGCAAATCAAATCAACTCTGAGATACCATCTTACACTTGTCAGAATGGCTAGGATCAAAAACACTGATGTCAGCTTATGCTGGAGAGGATGTAGAGAAAGGGGAACACTCCTTCATTGCTGCGGAGAGGGCAAACTTGTGCAGCTGTTTTGGAAATCAGTATCGAGGTTTCTCAGAGAACTGGGAATCAGTCTACCTTAGGATCTAGCAATACTACTTTTAGGCTTATATCCAAAGGAGACACACTTATACCACAAGGACATTTGCTCAACTATGTTCATAGCAACATTATTCATAATAACTAGAACCTGAAACAACATAGATGTCCCTCAACCGAAGAATAGATAAAGAAAATGTGATACATTTTACACAATGGAGTACTACACAGTGGTAAAAAACATCTTGAAAGTTGCCAATAAATTGACGGAAATGGAAAAAAAAATCTTAAGTGAGGTAACCCAGTTCCAGAAAGACAAATGATTTGTACTCACTCACAATTGGATATTAGGCATAGACCAAAGGATAACTAGCCTACAATCTACAATCCCAGAGAAGCTAAGCAACAAAGAGGACCCTAAGAGAGACATATACATGAATTCACCTAGGAATGGGAAATAGATATGATCTCCTGAAACCCTCATCCAATAACTGATGGAAGCAGATGCAGAAGTCCTTGGCTAACCACTGGACAGAACTCCAGAGGAGCAATAACTGAGCAAAGGGATCAATACCATACCAATACCAAAGGGGAAAACCCACAGAAATAGCTGACCTGAACTTGTAGGAGCTCACAGACACCAGACTGACAATTGGGGAACCTGCACAGGACCGATCTAGCCCCCCTGAATGCAGGTGACAGTGGGTGGCTTGGCAGTTGGTGGGGTCACTGGCAATGAGACCAGGAACTATCCCTAATGAATGAATGATCTGGCTTTTTGGAGCCCATTTCCTGTGAAGAGATACCTTGCTTAGCCTAAACACGGGGTTGTGGGAGGCTTGGTTCTGCCTCAATATGGTGATGTGACAGAATTTATTGACCCCCTTGCCATGGGAGGACTTACCCTCTGAAGAGCCCATAGGTGTGAAGTGAGGGGAAGATGTGGGGGTGGGAGCATAAAAAGAGGGGAAGGATGGGGAACTAGGATTAGTATGTAGAAAAATAAAGTAAAAATATTTAAAAGAAAAAAGAAAAATATTTCAGTGGGCTATGTATCCTGTCAGTTACTTGTGAACAGAGAATAAAGACAACAGAAGGTCATTTACACCACTTAGTTCTTTCAAAAGAGCAATAGTGTCTTTGTGTTTCTACTCTGTGGTTGAAAATATAATATTCTATGGTAGAAAAAATAAGCTGAGTTAGTACTATTGCTTTAATTTTTTCTCAGTATGTGGAGACGCTTGTAATTATTAAGTTTATCTCAGTTGCATATGGTGGTGCACACTTTTAATTTTATTACTCAAGAGGTAGAGGCAGGAGGATCTCTGAGTTCTGGATCAGCCTGGTCTACATAGTAAGTGCCTGGCCAGCCAGAGCTGCCTAATGTACCCTGTCTCAAACAAGCAAACAAGCAGTGCATCTCTGTATTTTATAACCCATGACCCTTTTGAAAGAAGTAGTGCTTGTTGTTTGACTGTCTAGAAAATCCTGTATTGTGAACCATCAGGAATTACTCACTTGTTAGTATAGAACCATTCTAGTAATCAGGGTTGCAGACTTTGACTATGTTTTTGCTCATTAACAGCCAAAAGGAAAGATTTGTTTGTTTCCCCATTTATTTTGTTGTTGTTAAAGTAATCTACTTTATGTTCTGAATCATCAGACCAACCTCACTGGCATGGGAAGTAAAGAAGATGTCTCCAGGACGCCATGTGATTCCAAGCCCATCAACAGATAGAATGAATGTAGCATCAACTGCAAGAAGAAGCTTAAATTTTGGGTGAGATGATTTAAAAAAATACACATAGTACTATAAACCCATGTTTATATATATATGTATGTATTTGAAAAATACTCATAGTATTATAAACCCAGTATTCCATGAGAAAAATATTCTTAGTACCAGCCCCATGTAGGAGAAATCATGCATCATTTCCAGGGAAGGTCTCACCAATTTCTGCTAAGATTCCTATATCTGAGAGAAAGTTACTATAGTATGAGATCTGTAAAGCAAAGCATATGCACAAAATTCTGGAAGGTAACTTTATTACTCACAGATTGACAGAAGATAAGAACAAAAGCCTACATCCTTGGTAACCTAGTCCTTTGAGACCCAGGGACGTTTTAGCTGTGTGTCTTGTCTTTTACCTAAGAGGACTTAAAAAGCGTTCCTTTAAGAACATTACACATTGGATGTCTTTTTTTTTCTTTTTTCCTGAGCTCAGATATTATAGGTTCTTTTCTATAGGCCCAGTGATGAAGAACTAGTTACGCTGGACAGTTTCTTTTCATTTCATAAGTTTGCATTCTTGTATATTCTTTGTGAAAGTTGGAAGCCGGAGAGGGGAGGAATGAATGACCAAGGCCATTTGGTACCTTTTTTTTTTTTTTACATTGTATATGATTGAAATTGTCAGAGTAAAATTTAAAAAAAGATCCAGTGGGCACATACTGCAGGCAGGTAACTCTTGTGGCTCTCAGGGTTGTTGCTGGGTAAGACTGATTACATTAAAGCAGTGGTTCTCAACCTTCCTAATGCTGTGACCCTTTAATACAGTTCCTTATATTGTAGTGACCCCAAATCATACAGCAGTTATTTTTGTTGCTACTTCATAACTGTAATTTTACTACTGTTATGAGTTGTAATATAAATATCTGATATGCAGAATATTTGATATTTGACCCCTATTGAAGGGTTGTTTTATCTCAGAAAGAGTCAAGAACCCCAGGGTGCGAACCACTGAGCTAGAGTGAAGTTGCACATGTATGTGAAGGGTCCTCATGATCGCATGGTGAACACTTTAGCAACTTAGCCTATTTCCCCAGCATTATAATATTTTTAGTATTTGTTTTCTCTGCTGTTACCATCTTTGAAGCAAGATCTTTGACGTATCTGTATATCTTAAGGATCCTAACACTGAATCTGGCATTTAGTAAAAGCTGATTCTTTGTTCAGTAGAATTAGACTTTTGCTTTCAGTCTCTCTTATGAGGTTCTTAGATAGTGTTTCCTTTGGTGAATGTTAATAGGCTTTAAGAATCATGTGATACTTGGACCTTAGGCAGGTGGGAATAGATAGATAGCAAACAACCAAAATATAATCCACCAGACAAAAGAGTGTTTACAAGCAAACTTGCTCTTTACTGCAGTTCATTAATCTGTTTCCAAGAATTTTATAACACAGATTTATTTTAATTCTGGAGACTTTTAATTCATGCATTAATTACCTTTCTCATGGCCATTAGCAAATACCTGGCAAAAGCAATTTAGGGGAACTTTGAAGGATTTACTTGGGCTTATAGTTGGATAGGACACAATTTATCATGACAGGGAATGTGAAGTGTTGATCTCAACGTGTCTGTAGTCATGAAACAGAGAGAGAGAGAGAGAGAGAGAGAGAGAGAGAGGAATATTAATACATGCTTACTTTCTCCTTTTTTATTCTGTCTGGAATCCTAAGCATGCAGTGGTTCTGCCTTCATTTGGGTGGGTCTTCTACCCTCATTAACTCTGTCTAGAAACTCCCTCATAGACATGACCAGAGGTAATTCTAGATCCTGTCAAGTTGACAGTATCATCCATGGCACTGCCTAGGTGCATAAAGTTCTTATGCTGTTCTCTATGTGATCCTATTCATTATCCTTGTATAAATGCATTTCTTCTTTTTACTTTGTGATATGGTTCATTGGTTGCCCTTAGTACCCACCCACATCTCATGCTGCTTGAGTTGTGTTTTACAAACTGAAATGTAGTTATAAAGCTTGGGTTTTGTTCATTATTTTAACTCAAAATTTAAATAGTAAGTAAACCATTGAGTATGTATTATACTACAGAGCCACTTTTTCTGAAAATCAAAAGAAGAAAAAACTAATATTTTGGAAATCTTCAAAGCCATAGGCCTCAGGGAATGGAAAAGGTGGGAGGGAAAGAAGGTGATGTCTCCTTACTTGCAATGAGTTCTCTTTGCCTGTTTCACAACTGATAAAAGGGGCTTGGGAGCAACCCTAATCCCAACTAGCCAGCAATACTGTTTCCATGTCAGTGTACCAAGATAGGGGACCTAATTTTGGTGACAGGAGAAGTGAATGAACACCTTTGGGCCAATATAAGAAAGGAAGGATGTCACTGTTAGGCTGTACTTGAACCCAAGAAAAACCTGAGTTCTTTAGTGGTCTCACAGCCCTGGGGTCTCCTCAGACCCGAGGAATCTGTAATGCTTGCCAATAAATTTACTTCCACTGTGGCATAATTCTTTAATTAGTGAAGGAAAAGAATTCCAGGCTTAGCTAGTAGCAGATTTTTTTTAAAAATAAATGTGAGCTATTAAAGAGACTGTAGAAAGGAGTGGATAGGATAGTGTGAAATTTCAGGAAAAATAACTTTAGAAAATAATGCTACTCAATTTTCAAGGAACCAAAATTGAATATTGCCTATGAAGCATTGTGTGTGCAATTGATGAAAGAAATATATACAAAGAAGAAACAGTTTTAGCCTGAATCAAGAATGACTTGTTAACATACATTGTTATAAATAAAAACTAGTAATAGTAATGTTATGAATTCACAATTTTTGCTTTGATATTTAATTTCTTACTTGTGTTTATTTTTCTAAATAGGAGTTTACCTGGCACAGTAACTGCCCCATGTCTGGCTCCTACAGGTGTCAGTTGGGCCGACAAGGTAAAGGCTCATCATACTGGCTCTGCCACATCTGATGTAACACCTGCTCAAGCCTGTGCACCAACAACAGTGCAAAAGACGTCCCGCAAAAATGGCAAGTGATTTTCAGTTAACTGTTTTTTAAATTTTTATTTATTCATGTTTTGGCTGCCTGTAGTTAAAAGGGATATTTATACTTTAAAAAACTTGGCCCTAATATATTTTTATATTTACATTTTAGTCTTACCTATGTCATTTTGATCTCTGTTAATTAAAATCATGAAATGCAGTAATTCATTGTTAAAGTGCTTCCCTAGCTTTTATAGGACACCCTAAATTGACTTTTGGGCATTTCTTTTGGTACTGAATGTATTTAATTTAATTTTTTCATTTTGATTTTAATTATGTTGGCTCATTTTAAATATTATTCCTTACTCTTATCCAATATATTGTCCTTGATTTTATTGTACAAACAAACTTGTAGCAAATTGGCAGTAGGCAAGGGTTCTATTCTCTTTTTTGTTGTTATAGTATAGTATCAGAGGGTGTGTGTTTTCTAAGCAAAAGAGGTTCATTTAGCCCACAGTTTTGGAGGGGAAAAAAACCTAAGATTGGTTGGCCCCATCAATTTAATACCTAGAAGCTGCAAATAAATTTTTATAATCTTCAAAATTTTGAAAGAGAATTAATTTCCATTCTAGAGATGATGGCTAACTAAATTGCCCATTAAAACTGAGAAGAAATTAGTATGCTGTTAAACATGCAAGGGCTCAAAAAAAGGCTTACATTTCTCAGACCCAGTTACTACTAGAAAAAAAAACAGCATAGAGAGCCAAAGGTAATAAATAAATCAATGATGTTGTAGAAAGGCTGCTTGTTTGTTCCCATCTACTTAGCCCCTAAATAATCACACAGAAACCATATTATTTGCAATACTGTTTAGCCAATTGCTTAAGTATATTTCTGGCTATCTCATATCTTAAATTAATTCATCTCCATTAATCTGTGTATCACCACGAAGCTGTGGCTTACTGGGTAAAATTCGGGCACATCTGCTCCCCACAGTGGCTACATGGTGTCTCACTGACTCTGCCTTCTTTCTCCCAGCATTCTAGTTTAATTTTCCCTGCCTAGTTTTACTCTGCCCTATCAACAGGTCAGGGCAGTTTCTTTATTAACCAATGGTAGTCACAGCATACAGAGGGGAATCCCACATCACAATGATGATAGTATTGGGATGACAGCAACTGCTACAGACTTAAAAAAAAAAAAGATCACAGTGCTCTGAAAATGAAGAATTCAGAAAATAATAGTATTAAGAAATTTAAAATTAGCTAGGTATGGTAGCATGCATGTAGTGAGGGGCCTGCTTGTTGGGGTTTCCATCCCACCCGGTACCCCACAGCCGGTAAGTCCCAGAGAATCAATCACACAGAGATCTCTATAAGTTATAAAGCTGATTGGCCCATTAGGTCAGGCTACTTATTAGTTCTTATGACTTATCTTAACCCATTATCCTTATCTACGTTAGCCACATGGCTCAGTACCTTTCTCATCTGGGCAAGTTACATGCTGCCTCTTCGGTGGTCTGCGCAGGAATGGCAGAGGGAGCTTCCTGCTTCCCATAGTATTCCCAGTCTCTTTGCTCCACCTCTACTTCCTGTCTGGTTTTCCCGCCTATACTGCCTGCCTGGCCAATCAGCGTTTTATTAAAATATTATTGACAGAATATAGACAATTCTCCCGTATCACATGCACCCTAGGAGAATGAGATAGTAGCATCATGAGTTTGAGGCTAGTCTGAACTTCATAACAGGTCCAGGCTAGTCTGAGCTACCTAATGAAACCTTATCTCAGCAACAGCATGGAAAACATTTGAGGACTTTAGTGATATGTTGACTCTGAAAACAGCATAAAATATCAAGGCTAGCCCAGAAAGACAAAAAAGGAAAGAAATGAAAAGAAGAACATGAGGGGGGACATACATGAAATCCATGAAAAGGTGTAGAGATTTTATAAAGCAGCATTAGAAATGATGTAAGTTTTCCAAACGCCTAAAATAAATCAAGTGTTAGACTTAAGGAATCCTCTCAGGCCAAGCAGGAAAATGCAAAAATAAATTTCCTCTAAATACAATATAATAAAAACACTGAAATTTGAAGAAACAGAAAAATCTTTATAAGTGGTTAGAGGACACAAATGCCATTTTCAAAAAGGAAAATCATCAGGTAGCTGACTTTATAAGAAGAACTATGGATGCTAAGTACAGTGGAGAATATGTTTAGAATGCTGGAGACACAGCCAAGAAAATGTACGTCACCAAGTTAAAATAAAAATGTTTTCAGGGAAAAGTTTCAGAAAGTTGTAAACAGCAGGTCTGTGCTCAAATGCTGTAGATAGCTGTTGGGATGGATGGAAAATGATTTCAGGTGGACACCTAAGCCAATAAGGAGACCCAGAAGGAATAAACGTAGACAAGTCAGGAGTGTGGACTGTGTAAGCATTATGACTGTGTGGTTGAGATATAGCAGAATGAATGTTGATAACACAAAATACAAAGCAGAAAACGACTACACTGCTAAATTTCCTTCCCTCCTTCTTTCTTTCTCTTTTTTCTTCCCTCTCCTCCCCTTCTCTTGCCCTCTCTTCTCCCCTCCTTCCCTCTCTGTCTTTCTTCCTGTGTCTTTTATCCTTTGGAGGCCAGAGTTGATGTTAGGTGTGTTCCTATTGATCTCTACTTTATTGTTTGAGACAGGGCTCTCACTAAACTTAGAGTTCACCAGTTGGCTAAATTGTCTGGTCATCCATTTCCTGAGATCTTCCTGTCTTTGTCTCATAGCTTTGGGATTGCAGCCTAATGCTACCAGCTTTTTGGATGAATGGTAGGTATTGGGACTCTGGTTCTCCTAAAACAGCTACCAAACAGGGACCAAGTATTCAAGTACTGAGATATAGGTGATATGTCATTCAAACCATCACATTCTACTCCCTGATATCCATTGTCTCGTGGCCAAAACATAATGCAAAAATGCGTTTACTCCAACTTGAGAAGTCCCCCCTAGTCTTTCACAGACTCAACAGAGTTCAAGTCTATTCTGCGACTCAAGGTAGTATCAGTTTTAACCTCTGTAAAATCAAAAAGCAGATTATATACTTCCAACAATGATACAGAATATACATTACCATTCCAAAAATGGAAGAATAGGGGTACAGTGAGAAAATACTAGACCAAATTAAGATCTCCTGTTCACTATCTGGGCTTGCCATGCATCTCTATACGTCTTTGTCTGAATGCAGTATGCTTTTTGTCTCAGCAGGTGTGCTGAACTCTGCAGGTCAGCTCTGATTTGTAGCTCCAGCAGCCCTCCCCTCTGCTTCTGCTGCTCATTTTGCGTTGTTAACCTTCCTGGCACAGAATCCTTTGCATTTCTGTTAGTTTTCTAATTTTAGTTTCTCAGGCCTCTTTGAACTTCCTAAAATCCCTTGCTTCTTATTCCTTTTGAGCCATTTTGTAACTTGCACGTTTATATACAGATAGGTAGCTTTGTTGTGTGATGTGTAATGTGTGACCTGAGAGTTAATATTAGTAATTAAAATTGGAATTAAAAATCTGTTTGTCTCATTCAGGACTATCAAAGACAGTGAGAGCTGTCAGGAAAATTCCTGCCAATTGAACTACCCTACCTTGTGAATTTATTGTTACTCAATAAATTCTGACATTGTGAAAAGACACAAATATGTTCCTCTATTTCTGACATAGCATGCTCGTATGCCATAGCAGTAGCTGAGTGTGTACATAAACAAAATCAGTAAAGATAGTGAAAGTTAAATGTTTAGCAAATTTGGCACAGTTACATGTTTAACAAAGTATATGCATTCCTCACTTTTCTTTTTGCTTCTGATACTTCAGTCTGAATTCTTGATATGGACATGTATTCTAACTTGCTGACCTTCTGTTCTATATGTCTAATCTACTATGAAACCAGCTAGTATACTCATAATTTTTTATCTTTAAAATATGGATTCTATGGGTGTAGGACTGCTGGAGGATGGGTTGCCTCTTGGGGTTCACGTTTCTGAAGAAATATGACTTTCTTTCTCATTAGTTGCCAGTGGTGTGTCAACTATGGGTGGTTTTCATCAACTCCTTCCCCAGCCATGCTTGGACCGTGCTTTTCTTCATCTTGTTCCAATCTTGTGTAAACAGTCACAGCTGTTAGGAGTAAACACATGCAATGACCTTGTCATGTCCTATTTTAACCATAAGTGGACCCAGTAGGTTTACAAAAGAGCACATGAAATTAGGAGGGAAAGTGGTAGATGGGTAGGAGAGGAATTAGAGCAGAGAGAATAGGAGTAGATTTAACCAAAACACGTTATATAAAAATATGAAATTTTCAAACATAACATTTTAAACCTATGTGAAGTATTGATGGATTTTGGAAATGTAGTATTAGATTTAAAAAATGCTACCCAACTAGAGTAAGTGGTGATACCTGCTGGTCTTCCCTGTCCCCACACTTCTCACCTGCTGGTCTTCCCTTTCTTTTCACACTTATCACAGCTGTTTTGAATTATCTGTACTTGAAAAAACAGAAAAAAACAAAAAACCCAACAACAGAAAAACCCAAACACCAGAATTATATACACTGTCTTTAAAGTAGGTTTTTAGTAGATTTCATTCAGTTCTCTGACTTCCCCCGTAGTTCTCCATATAATTTTTTTCTACTTCTTAAAACTGGTGCTTCTTTGTGTGGTTAATTTCAGTCCCTATGTGTAGATGCATTAATCCAATCTTTGCAGTAAACTGTCTCTTCAACCATTAACCATTTGTGTGTTTGAGGCATTTTATATTCTGTTCATTTTCAAATTCTTAAAAGGTTGTTTTCCCTAATAACTTTCTCTATTAAAAAAAAGTTATACTGGGCTGTATCCAACTGTCCTTAAGAATATTTGATAGAAAGTTAAATGATGTTCAACGCACTAGGGAAAAGGTCCTGTTAAGTACTGTAAAGAATGCTGGTTTAATGTTAATTCCTTAATACAGCTATTCCTTGAAGTTTTTGCCTTTTAATAATTTGAACAGTTTAGAAGCAATTACTCAACTTCCTGAGAGGTAGTTATCGAGTCGTTCTAATATATGCTGCCTCAAGTGTGCAGCTGACAAACAGCCCTGGACAAAGGGAGAGACTGCCTGTAAGTAAGCCTGCTGTTTAAAATCATCATCTGCCATGCAAAAATGCTTTATTCTAGCTATAAGGACCACTGCACCCCAAGCTGTAACTCCTATTTCAGAAGGTCCTACATGGTCATGGCTTCTTCAGGCAACTTGTACCAGCCTCAGCTGGTGACCTTTTCAACTGCAGCAATTCTCACTAAGGCCTAGGTGGCAGAATAAATTACACTCCTCCTTCAATAGAAACCCCTGACAGTTGTAATTCAAAGCCTCCATTTGGACCTTATGTCAGACTTGAGATCAGCGTGGAAGTTGGAACAGTACTGTGAATGGTGCAAAAACATAAAAGTTCTGCATTTATATTCCAGTCCCTCCAGGCTATATAACCAGTGGGCCAAGCTGGTAATATGAGGAGGGGACAGTGCTTGTCGTGGTAGTAGCAGCCACAACACTAACAAGTGATGGAGTGGTAAGTGGCTTTAGCCACAACAATAAGAAGGCTATTGAAGAGTTATAAACTTGGATAGCAGTCAGCCTGATGACCTGAGTTCAGTTTCTAGGTCCCACAGTGGAAGGAGTGCCGACTCCTGAAACTTGTTCTCTGAATTGCCATGGGCACCATGCACAGACAACATACCTAAGAAGACCAATGTGGAGAACAATAGAGGGAGACATCCACAATCAATCTCTGGTTTATATGCTCTCTCTCTCTCTCTCTCTCTCTCTCTCTCTCTCTCTCTCTCTCTTTCTCTCTCTCTCTCACACACATACACACACACACACACACACACACACACAAACACACAGAATTACAGACTTTTCTCCTCCTCTGACTGGAAAGATGATAAGAGATGTGGAGTACGGTGTTCCTAATCCTATCAGGGTTTGGTTTGAGATTGTTTTAGGTTGATTACTCCATTTGAGATTTCCAGTGAAAAGCCTGGGTACTCACAAAACTCACTACATCCCTGAGTTATAGTTTTCATTTTCCAATCTTGTACAGTTGCTTTGCTTTTTGTTTAGTTTGTTAAGATCCCAGCTGCTGCTCTCTCTTGCTTTCTTGGAGTCTTGCCTTGTATACAGAAAGCTGAGTTGTCAGGCACCTTGGGGAAAAGTGAATGCAGATTTTTTCTTTTCTTTTCTTTTCTTTTCCTTCCTTCCTTCCTTCCTTCCTTCCTTCCTTCCTTCCTTCCTTCCTTCCTT